AATAACTCTTTTTTTTTGGGTGGGGGTGTACGCGGGCCTCTCACTGTTGTGGCCTCTCCCGTTGCAGAGCACAGGCTCCGGACGCGCAGGCTCAGCGGCCATGGTTCACGGGCCCAGCCGCTCCGCGGCATGTGGGATTTTCCCGGACCGGGGCACGAACCCATGTCCCCTGCATCGGCAGGCGGACTCTCAACCACTGCGCCACCAGGGAAGCCCTCTAATAACTCTTGAGTTAAAGGTTGAGTCTTTTGGCAGCAGCTCCTACCAGTTGATTTCCTAGCTGTGAGAAGGAGGAAGCCATGTGCCCTCCCAGCCTGCCTGTACAGCAGCAGGCGGGTTATCTGGACCGTTTCTGTAGGCATGTTCTCTGTGATCCTCATTTCACTTCTTCTTTGGCATGCTTCCTCCTTGGGAGCCCTGTGCCGGGTCAGAGTGGCCTCTACTTGGAGATGCTGTCATTAATGATGGAGATCAATTGTGTTCTTTCCCCAAAGCCAAGTGATTTTTCTCTGGTTGTTCTGAATACATAACCTGCCTCCTCATTCGGAATTTTCCTTAATCATGTGATAATTTCCAATATAGTCTCCTTGAATTAAGATGGATAAATTTATCTCCGTTCACTTATCATTAGTAAGCATATGATAATTCACCTAAACGTGAAGGTATTGGTTAAGTTATAGTGGTTTGAGTACTTGTAGCCAAATGCAGTGGTGTTTAGTCACATGAAGGCAGAGCTTAGAACACTGATCTGTGTTTCTCTTTTTGCTGTTGGAGTCCTTCCCTTGCAAGGTCCCTCCTTCCTTCCCCCCTCTGTTAGTATATTGGATTTTTTATTCATATTATGATTTGACCCCTTTCTAGAGGAGTGAAAATTTTATGTAACTCATAATACTGTGAAATGTATTTTGGAAAAATATATAATTATTATTATTGCATCTATTACTTGTGAAAAAAGTGTTTGGTCAAAGGGAATGAGAAATATCTGTAACTGTTATATGTGCACTCCTTTTGCTCATAAAACTAAGCAATTCTAATAGATTAAAATTTATCTAAGTCACGTCTATCTGATGAGTGGCATTTTTCTTGCAATAAGATCACAAAGGATATTTTTATCTTTCTCAATTCAGCAGTCAGGTTAAGGTTCCCTAATAGAAGGCTCCATTAGTCTTGCCACTTTTAGTAGCATTTGTTTTTAACTTCATTCTCTGTGAGTAAGGGGGAGTAGACATGTGACTTTGCAGGTGCAGAGAGGAAAATGAGAAAGCTTGAGTCTTCCTTCCCTCTGAAGAGAGTACTATTAGACCCAACCGTTTGATTTCCCCTTTGGTTATGTGGATAAGAATGATCAACTCTCAGGGAACATCATCTAAGTCACTTCTCTGCTTAAAAATGTTGCAGGAGTTCTCACTGCCCATATCAGAGGTTCTCAAACTTTACTGATCATTAGAATCACCTGGATGGCTTGTGGAACCACAGATTGCTGGGTCTGGGATAGGGAGCATACATTGAGAATCCTGGCCTATAAGATAAAGACTAAAATTCTTATGCCCTAAAATGTTCATCATAGTCCAAAGGTGGCAGAGATTACTGGTTAAGGGTGTGAGCTCTGGAATCAAAACCCTGAGGTTCAGAGTTCTACCACTTACTCCCTTACCTACTGTGTAACCATGACCAAGTTATTGCATCTGTAAAACTGGGATAATAATAATAATATCTCCCTCTTAGGGTTTTTATGCATATTATATGAGATTGTACGTTGTAATATGCTAAAAATAATGCATAATAGTTCCAGATGAATATCAGCTATTATCATTATTATTTTTTATCTCTCCGATCTTTCTTAGTTGGATGTCTTAGTTCCAGCCATCCCAGACTTATTCTAGACTAAGTTACATCTAGTTATATCATCATTTTTCTCTCCTTGGAGTCTTCAAATGTCCAGTTTTCTCAACAGAGTTTCTACCTTTTCCTATTCCCATCTTCAACTACCTAACTCCCACTCATTCCTGAAATCTCTACTTTTATGTTACTTTTCCAGAGAAGCTCAGACCAACCACAGTTGTATGTACTTTGCCATTGAAACACTGTTGTTTATATACTTGTTATTCATATCTGTCTTCTCTACTAGACTGTAGGCTCATGAAGGCAGACCGTCTGTTCATTGGTACAATCACATGCCCAGTAGTTACTGAATGAGTGTTGGGTTGGCAAAAGTTCGTTCGGGTTTTTCTGTAACATCTTATGGAAAAACCCAAACGAACTTTTTGGCCAACCCTGGTATTTGCTGAATACATGAATGAATCAACACTCATGCTGTCCTTTGGGGCCATGGCTCGGGCTCACAAAGAAAACCATACGGAGAGATGTTGCCCAATCACTGGAAAGTGTGCCAATGCTGGAGATTTCAATTTTATTGCTATTGTTCCACACTGAGGATAGAAGTGAGTGACAATTGATAGCTAGCACCTTCAGTGAAGTTCCATCAGAGGTATATGTCAGGTCACACTGTGTTACTATAGGGATTTCAGTTTCTTTAGTATTTTGACATGTCATTCTACTATTATTTAAATCCTAAAAAATGATAAGGCTAAGAAGGACTCTGGGGAGCATATACCAACATAGTAGTTTTACAAGTTTGGTATGGCTATTTTGTATAACTTACATAGCACAGTAGTTAAAAGCATAGATAAAGAACTAGAGCGCTGTTGTATGACCTGCTGATGACTTTGGTCAAGGTTTACCTTTCTGAGACCAGATTCTTCCTCTCTAAAATGGGCATAATTATAATTACCAAACAGAGTTATTTTGTAAAGCACTTAGTATTTACTCTTAAGAACTAAAGGAGAAAGATTTTAGCTCTTCATTGCTTTATGACATGGCTTTTATGTTTTCCTGCTCATGGACATTCAGCTGAAAGCTAATAGTGTATATAACCCTGCGCTGACTTGATTGTGTGAAAGGAGAAACAGTTTGGGCATTTAATGAGGGGAGCAGTAGAAATGACGATCAAACAGTAAAAAGTCAGTGATGCAATCACTCTAAATGCAATCTTATCTCTTTCCCCATCCCCCAGAATTTTTAAAAAATAAATCAGCAAGATAATTATCCAACTACACTGAGAACAAAAAAAAAGTCAGTGATGTAATCTGTAGGAAATCTCCATAAAACTGCCATTCAGAATTATTTGAGGCTCTCTAAGTATAGAGCACATAGGATCACCTAAGAGTTTGATTAGTGGAGAATTTTGGCTGAGTTTGTCTTTAATGAACAGTGTAACAGTCTATAATTCTGTTTCCATATTTACCTGTGATGCAAGGTGCTGGGCTTTTGCACAGGGCAATCACCAATTCTACATCAGCTTTCTGCTATTACCCTTTCATATAGGATCAGATGGGTCAGATGACTTCTAAAGATTAAGCAGGGGAAGTGCCAATGATTCTGGAACAATTGGAAGCATTCTCTTCTCTGATCCGCTTCTCTTCAGGCTGTGCTAGCAGGCTTTCCACACAATGCCACTAATGAACTTTCTGTATCAAACGATAATTGCCCATGTCAGTTGTCTGTCTCCCTCACAGACTGTTGGCTCCTTGAGGACAGCAACTATGTGTTATTCATATGGGTACCTCAGTGCTTGGCACAGTACTTGGCCCAGAGTAGGGGCTCCACTGTTGATGAACTGCAGTTGAACTGAATGGAATGCATTAAGATTCATAAAGTATAAGGGACTAGAGAACCATCTAAGTTGTCTCTGAGATAGTCACAACTTGACAATGAACCATTTTGAAATTGTGAGGCCACCAATCAAGAAAGGTTCAAGTACAAGTGTGTAGATTTGGGGCAAGTCATCTGTTTCTCTAGGGGAGAAATGATCTGGCATCTGCTTCTTCTACTCCCTGCCATTTTAGTTGACAGAACCAAATTGAAGAAGCTAAAAAAGCCTTTAAGACTCAGATTATATGGATCAACTTCACTGCCAAATTCATAAGTCCCATCTTCATAGTTTATACACAGTCAAATTAGTAGTTCTCGATGCTCCTTGGTGATTTAAGAAGGCAACAATACTGACAAAATAGGATTCTAACTAATCAATTTCTAAAATGCCATTGAGGTAAAAGTCGCTCTTTTTCCTTAATATTAGCCATCTAATAATCTTAGCAGAGAATCCTTGACAAATTCTTTAAGAGACCTCTTCAGAAGGAAACCTGAAATTGAATGACAGGGGCACAACTACCGATATAATTTCTTTAACTGCTTTACATTCTCTTCACCAAAACTCTGTACAGAGTGGTAGCCCTACTAGCAGAAGTCCGTGATCCAAAGGAGAGTCACAAGTTGACTTGCTTTTCAAACCCAGGAGAAAACAAGCCCTTTATCCGTTTGGGGTTAAGAAGAGGAGCCAGACCATAAAGGGATTTCAGTTTTCTCTGCGAGTTGTAGCCCTTGTGAATTCTCTCCTCTAGATCACAGAGGGGGACGTTAGAGACAGACCTTCTCTGCCCTTCAAGTTAAAGTGACTTCTCTATAAAATTAATTAAAATGCTGTTACTGTATGTCTCACTAAGTTCCCACCTCCTCCAAGTACTTTCCATACAGAAACGCAAATGGATTAATATTTTAAGTCTAATTAAAAATAACTGCAAAATAGTGTTCTGTCATGCCACAGTCGACATAGATCAACAATGAATTTCAACTTGAACTCTAGAGAAGAAAGATCTCATATTATATGCCTGAATATGCAGTAAGCCTACGAATCATTCAGTCACAAGGTTTAGAAAGTACAATAGGTACTCACATGAATAAGAAAATAAACAAGATGAGATTCTGTGTTACTGTCAAAGCCATAGAATGCCTATTATTCACTCTGGCTATGTATCTACACAACCTAAACACCTAATTGAAAAATTAAAGATAAAATTCAGTGATTTCACCCATATAATATTGAGCAATTTTTAGAAATTTCCCTCCATCATAAAGACTGAAGTTTTTAGTTATAGGCATACCTCAAAGATATTCTGGGTTCGGTTGCAGATCACCGCAATAAAACAAATACCGCAATAAAGTGAGTCACATGCATTTTCTGGTTTCCTAGTACATAAAAAAAGTTATGTTTACACTATACCTATAGTCTGTTAAGTGTGCAATAGCATTATAACCAAAATAATGATGTACATACCTTTAAAAACTATTGTATTGCTAAAACGTGCTTACTGTCATCTGAGCCTTCAGCGAGTTGTAATCTCTTAGCTGGCAGAGGGTCTTGCCTTTATGCTGATGGCTGAGGACTGATCAGGGATGTGGTTGCTGAAGGTTGGGGTGACTGTGGTAATCTCTTAAGATAAGGCAGCAATGAAGTTTGCCGCATCAGTTGACTCTTCCTTTCACTTGAACGATTAGAGGCTGTTTGGGGGTTCTTAATAGGCCTAATTTCATTACTGCTGTGTCTCAGGGAATAGGGAGGCCTGAGGACAGGGGGAGAGATGGGGAACGGTCGGTCAGTGGAGCGGTCAGAACACAAACAACATTTATCGATGAAGCTGGCTCATGTAGGCATGGTTTATGGCACCCCCGCCAAAATTACAACAGTAACATCAAAGATCCCTGATCACAGATTACCATAATAAATATAATAATAATGAAGATGTTTGAAATATTGTGAGAATTATCAAAATGTGACACAGAGACATGAAGTGAGCAAATGCTATTGGAAAAATGGCACTGATAGATTTGCTTGATGCAGGGTTGCCTCAGACCTTCAATTTGTAAAAAAACACACTACCTGTGAAGCACGGTAAAGTGAAGCACAATAAAGTGCAATGGTATGTCCATGCTTATGTATATACAATGTTATATAAAAGTCTAATATGAGAGATTTTTTTTCCTGTTATTAGAAATAAGATATTTTCTTTTCCAGAACTGTTTCTGAAGAAAATGTTCTATTTAGGCCTAGTGATAATACAAAACTAACCTGGCACTTGTTTGGGGAGAAATGAAAGTTTTTCTGACTTGTAGCTTGAGTATATATTCAACTTACAAATTTGGAATAGCATATACTTAATGCCTAGAAATATCATCAGAATAGGGATAAGACAGGAATAGATTTTAGATAAGTAGAACAGAAATCATAGGAAGCTAACATTCTAGACATTGCAGCCTCAGGAATGGCTTTGGTTTACAAAGTAACATTAAACCAATTTCTCTTTGGTAAAACTCTTAGAAATAAAGGGTACATATATTTGGGTTTTATGGTTCTGACCTTGATCCGGACAACAAGCAGCTTGGCAAAGCCTCCAAAGAAAACAATAGAGTCCCATTTTTAAGGACCTGAGAGGGCCTCCAAGAGAACTTAAAAAAAAATACCCTCTATTTTCCTCTCTAATATACATGACATTCTGTATAAATTGACATCAAGCCTCAGTTAAAAAGCCATAGTTTTAAGAAAGAAAATTTGGATTCTGATAAGTCATAGGATAGCAATCTTACCCATGTTTCTGAAATTCGTATAACAAAATGAATCCAGTCTAAAAAAAAGCAGCCATGAAGTTTATATCACGAGTAGACTGTAATCCTTACAAAGCTTCCCGAAGGGTTGACATTCAATCAACAAAAGTTGTCTTTGTTTCCTCTTGTTCTCATCAAAATGAAAATTTTTCCAAAGACTGGCATGTCTGCAACTGCTTCGCAGACTACAGTTCATTAAAAAACTGTAGATAAAATTCTTTCACTTAGAGCACGTCTGCTTTAATGCAGTGGGAGCTCTCTCACAGTAAAGGATGATCGTAATGAAAGAGACTGCATCTATACAAATTAACTTATGATTTCAGCATGTGGTCATTAGCCCACTAAAAATTTTAGTCATGAGATAGTTTGTCTCCGTTGGACGTTTTATTGTCTTGTAGTTATGAGCATAGTGATAAAGAATTTTAGAAAAGGATGTCAAGTTAAAGTATCCCAAGGTATTTAAACAAAGAAATGTGCATCATAGCTTAGACAATAGTAGTTACAGTTGATTTGATCGAAAAAAAATGTTTTAAGTGTTTGAGTAATATCTGTGCCAGAATTGAAGAGGAAATGGCAAGAAGTCAAATTCATATATCTGCATGAGCCGCTTGAGTTCTTATTCACACACCAGGTATGAAGTAGAAGGAATATTGTCTCTTAAAAAGGGTTGCTATGTTTATCGGTTTATAGAAAGGGCAACATAGAGTAGCTCATGGGGTTTAGAAGGGCAGCTATATATAGAATAAAAAACAGAAGCAAAATGTTTTATCTTTTCACTTAAGAATTATTGTCTCGTTGGTATCGATTTGCATAGTTGCGGTCATGTCAAGCAAAGGCCTTTCCCCATGGATTTACATTCTATGGTCAAGAAGTGACAAAATGGAATATAAACCACAGGTTTGGTTTGGAGGATCGGGAGAAGGAGAGATGAGCAAAGAAGAGATACTGTTATTAAAACAAACTTAAGTGAATGAGTGTTTTATTTTTAGATGTTCTCATACCTCTAGGCAAGGATTATTATAGTTGTATTTTAGTGTTTTGAAAAGCTATTTGTTTGGCGACCTTAATTCCTAAAAACTCTTTACCGAATCTATTGTTTCAGAAGGCGTTTTGGCCAAATCATTGTTCAGATATACTGGTGTTTCCCATCTAATTTCCTGGTGGATGGAGGTTGCCTGTGGACTGGAGAGTCCAGGACTGGGAGTAGCTATGGTCTCTGTACAAGAACAGAGAATTCCCATAGAGTAAAGAAAGTAGTGTGGGAAGCCCAAAGCCTTTACTGCACCAAGGAAAGGAATGATACCATCCTATTTGTTGAGTAGGTAGGAAAACATCCAAGCTATATGCTTTTAATCATTATTACTGACAGCTGTCAAAATTCCCATAAAATAAACCTTAAGAATACTGTTTATAAAACAGATTTAAGTGGCCTTAAATGTTCTTTAAGTCCAATTTATCATGAATAAAACCATACTGGGTTCATACTCAATGCATTAATCATCAACCATATAAAATAAGCTACATAATAAAATTAAATGAAATCTCAATTTACCAAAACGTTAACATGCTAACAACTACCAACTTTAAGTCACAGTGTAAAGATGAAATGAATAAAACACTAGAATCACTATACCAAATAATATAATTGAAGTTAAAATGCTATTTTCTGTGGTTCTTTTTGGAGAAGATAATAAGTTGTTTACTTTAATGCAGTGACATTTTATTTTGTGATTAATTTTAAAATAACATTGTAAAAACTACAAACTCATTTTAATTTGACAAGCATTTGGTAATTAATTTTCAAACAATGCTATGGGAACCCAGAAAGCACTCTTCCTTTGACGTGTATTTTATAATTTATTTTAAAACAATGCTGCACAAATCTGCAAAGGCATAATTCATTTGGGAGTTCATTAATTATGCAAATGAGTTGCAATTAACAAATCTGTTCCAAGGATGGCATTTGCATAATAATGAACTTCATGTTTGTGACATTATTTAATAAGATACCTTTGTGCATTTTTAAACAAAACACTCCTGTGAATACTATATGATGAGATGGCGTTGAAAATGGACATCTAGTCAATGAGATTCAAAACTGTATCCAGAAAAATGTTGTTAAATAAACAGAATTATATATAATTCAAATAATAAATATGGATATTCTTTTTAAAGCACAGGGGTTTTGATTAATCTCAGCTTCCCTAAATAGCATAAGACTTTAATTTACATTTATAAAGACCAATACACAAATCAGGCTAAAGCAAGGTGAAACAAGGAAAACTAGAAATTTCATTTTAATATCTCAAGCGAAGGTAAGCCATACACTATACACACAAATCTCAAAACACACACCTTTTAGTAGCAAGGAAAATATAACATTGAGTCAAAAGATCCCTCCTTTCTCAGGGATTATGGCAGGAGACCCTGAAATTCAGCTGGCGTTCATTTAGCCAATCAGTAATCATTTGTTGAGCATCTTCAATGGGCCAAACTGTTCTTAAGTTAGGACAAATCAAAAAAAGAATAAGATGTATGTCTACCTTCAGGTGGCATGAAGCCTGAGGGACCTAGGCGTATAAACACTAAAAGCCAATGAAAGTTATCTCACAAAAGAGAGAAATGCAAAGTGTTACAGGAATACAGAAGGTAAGCATTACTCATTTTGGTGGATTTCAGGAAGGTGTCAAAGATAAAGAAGGGATGAAATGTTTTGAAGGATAGAAGGAAGTTCTTCAGTGTGGTAGAAGGTCAGTGTATTTGAGAAAAGGGAAACCACATATATAAAGTCATGAAATAGTGAAAGACGGTGATGTGCTTGAGAAAATAAGAAGGTCACTGTGGCTTGAAGAAGAGAGTATGGGCTGGGGAATAAATGTGTTTGGAGCAAGACTGTTAGGAGCCTTAGGGATCCAGTTTGAAATTTTCGAAAGATAATGAGAACGGTGTTATAGTAGATGGGTTTGGAAGAGACAAAGCCAAAAGGTAATTTTCTCTGCAGCTGACCAGTAGCAGAGTGTCTTGAGTGTTGGGTGATGTGTATCCCGAGTATGGGGTGATATCAGGTGAGTTTATAAGCGAAGTGTTTGGCATTCCAAATCAGTGTGAGTCTGTGATGACCATAACACTTTATGATTCTATGATATGTTTTCCCTAATTATTTGATCTTTACTTGTGCTTCTACCTTCTCTGGTCACATCTCAGTTTGAAACCAAGAATCCCTTAGGAATTACTCCATGCCCCAACTGCACAAACTTGCAGCTAAAAGAGGTCTTCCAGATGCAGTCTTGTCTATCTCTCACTTAACTGAAGTCTACCGAAGCTTCCAAACTATATCCTCATGCCTTGGAGATAGAAGTAAATAAGTAACAGTGGACGAAACGGCAAAAGACGGTAGCCCTACTGGACAAGCAGACTGATAGTACCTTTAGAACCACCTGGCATCCCTTGCCAAGTTTTGTTCCAGAATCTCATGGTAAAAACAATGGTGAAAAGAATGTTCATGATACTGCCATTTAACAGCCTAACTCCAACTCAGAGGCAGGCTTTGGTTTTGTTTTGTTTTTATTTACTGATAGTTTATTTTCTTTTATTTGTTTTTAGCATGAGGATACCCACGTTTTTCAGCTTCAGTCTTTCAATACATCTTTTTTTCTTCAGTGGTGTACTACTGCTGACAGTCAGCAAGTCTCGTCATCGATCCCACAAAAGCAAAAATAGGGAGGTGGACATTTATTGCTTCTTGGCCAGCGAGCATCCATTCTCTATTCTTATCATTCTTTCCTTTGGGGGATTGTCATTTTCCCATTGAGTGCAGTCCTTCCCCTCTGTTCCTTTCACTTGATTCCATTAGGCCTCGAACTGAATTTGGTCAATTAAACTCTCTCGGGCTTCCCTGGTGGTGCAGTGGTTGGGAGTCCGCCTGCCGATG